AAAGGTCGGGAAATAGTCAGACATGATTTTCCTTCCGCCGCCAAGAGGTTGTGGCTGTGAAATGTCGGATTGTCCCTATTAAAGCCATGTGCAGGCAAACACCTAAATCATGAATTTTTATACACATTTTTCCGGAAAACGAAAGCAAACGTCGAGTTTATCCCAAGAATGGCCCATCACGTGACATGTGTGCTTCCGTGAGTACGAATGCATACCTATACGTTATGAAAGGATGAATGGAGGGTGTCGACTGCACAGTGTACCATAAATATGACTTGTGGGCGTTACGCGATTCTCCAAGGGAGCCAAGAAGTTCACGCGCAGTTGTCGTCGTAGTCGTGATTTTCACGTTCTTCCGCCGTATAAAAATTGTCTCACGTCTCGCGTCGCACACCGGAACGTTAAGTTGCTACAGCTATGCCACGTACCTCCACGTATGTATATACACATCTGCACGTATTTCACTCGTTGCGATACATACATATTATACGTGTATGGACTTTTATACATTTTCGAGTTTCAATAACCAAAGGTTTTGCAAAATTTATATTTGAGAATGTATACAATGGTGTAAAACTGTATAGCTGCGCGTAAGAGTTAAAAAAAAAAAGGAAAAGAAAAACAGGGGGATCTTATCAAGCAGGCATGGAATAATCAGCGGTAGGACACGGGAAAGCCAGAACATTGTTGGGGGAAGAGGGAAGATTGTAGGCGGTGCAGTGCAAAGGCTCGTTTATTCCGTTTCGGTGGAGACGCGAGCAGATGGAGGAGGGGAGAAGATGAAAACGGAACACCATCCCCAGAGAGACGATTAAATGGCAACCGTGAAAGGGAACAACTAAACCGTCTGTGCCTCCTCGATTGCGCGAAGGGAAGAAGGTGCACGAAGGTGGTCGCAATTGCGCTCCCGTGCGATACCGGGCTCGCGCGAGTTTTCGACGAACGGATAGCTACCGCGTTCCTCCGATTGGATACTTTCTGCGAATTGTCTCCTGCTTCCCGAGCTATCCTCGCCATCAACATTTACCACTCGGTGGTCGCGTGCTTTTTTTTGAAGAATGGTTCATCAGTGGTGGCACTAAAAAAAAAAAAAAACAAAAATCCGTGTCGGAGCTTGCGTACAATCGAATTTTTTTTCTCCCTACAATCCATTTGTACACCGTTAAATCTCATCGAGTCGAGAGAAATTGCCAAGTCTTAGAAGCCCGAAGCTTACTGTTGAAGTCCGTCTCGAAAGCTCATTCATTCATTTATTCGTGCATATACTTCCGCTTAAATTAAAAGAGCGGCAATCTTACTTTCGGAGTGACTCGCTCGAGCAAGCTCGAGTAACGTTGGATTAAGCAGCAACGAAGCGCCAATGATTCCCTCTCCCCAATCCCTATCTCCACTGTAGTTTGTAAGAAATACCTTTCTGCGATTGCACGAGAACTTTATTTTCCTAGGTAGCTGGAAAAAAAAAAACTGTTTTCTCTTTCCCTTTCCTTAACTCTTGGTGTTTTCGTCTCTCGTCTGTCTGTCTGGTTCGACGGTAATTTCTACCTCTCTGCACCGAAATATCTGGCCTTGTGAACTGGTTGTTTTTCTTATGTCTGATCAGTGTCGTTCAAAACATTTTATCCGGCCCGTGGTGAAAAAAAATTATTTACGTTTTTTTTTTTTTTTTTTTTCTGTTACTAGTTCCTTCAAAATTGATTTTTCTATTGTTATAAGTGGGCTTTTTCTTTAATTTGAAATTACAGTATACGAGAGTAAAGGGTAATTCGATCACAGAATAATACGTCAATCATTTACGTACGCAAATTAAATGTATTTATACAATTTATACATACAATACATGTAACCTCTAAATGAAATATCCAACATTTAAATGTAAAATCGTTTGATCTAATTCGCGATTACTGCTAATGACTGGCTCTTTGTATGTTAAATCGCAACGTTGAAAAACTCATAGATATATTCAATTGCCTTATACAATATGTACTCTCGAAGTTTATAGCCAATTAAAAACACAGTTATTTTGAATTTTTTTACTTTTAAAAGAGAATAATATCAATGCAACGAAGAAAAAAGTGAAATTTTATTAATGGCAAAGAAAGAGCGATGATTTTGTTTATCAAAGAGTTAAATCATTACTCTGAAATTCAAAGTGCAAAATCAATGAAAAATGTTTGCCAATCACATATCGTGTGATTCATCGATTTTCATTTAATGATTATTTGGCGATTACGTCTACGATCCATCATTCTGGACGGTACAATTCATCCAATTACTTGTAGAGGTTATACCAAAGTTAAAAGAGATAAAGAAACGACAAAAATAAAAATAAACAACAATATCGATTTAACGATGAGAAAACAGGAATAGAGCTCGTTATCTGATGGCAGACGACCAAAGGGTCGCAACGTTGCAGTCGAGGGACGTCAAGTGTACAGTACTCATGAGTGATGGTATGTATATGGCACCGAGCTAGTCAGTCGAGCAGCCTGGTTACAGTAAGAAATTTCAATTCCGGATTTTTATTATTGTTTTTTTATTTTCTTTTCTTTTTTACTACTATCGAGCACTTGGGTCTGCCAATAAAAGAAAAAAATTGATTCGTGGATAACGAGTGGCCAATTCGGAAAACAAAAATCACCGGATTGTACGAATATTTTTTTTACCGCAAATTTCACGTGGGAGAGGAAAGTTCAATGACTTTAACAGAAAATAATAGCGTTGCTTACAGCTACACCAATTCATTGGTGCGTGATTTTTGCGATTTTTAATGATAAAATCTTTAAAAAATGGCACAATAAAATACGATTGAAGCGGAAATTTATCAAATGTATATGTTATTACATTGCATCGAGTATCTTATATTATATCCACTTTGTGATTTATTCTCATATTCTTTGTAGTCTAAAAAAGTAATTTTATTAAACTGAAACGAGGGTACAGTCGGTGTAAATGCATTAGCTTCGTTGACTTTTCGCAATTAGCTAAGGAAAAAAAAAAAATAAATAAAAAATAAATAAATAAATAAATAAAAGTAGCAAAAATCCAGCTTACTTTTCGTCGGCTGCCTTTGTCTTTTTCCTCCGGATAAACCGAACGAGCTGGGAGGGGTATTGTGCTGAGGGAGGGCTGTGTGGTATCTAGCTCACGGCAGCATGAAAGACAAACGAAGCTCGTTAATAAATTTTCCTGTGCTTCCTTTGGATGTGCCAGTGAAACGACGCCACTACCTGTTCGTCGAATCCTCTTTGACGGGCAAAATAGCGCTGATTATATTTTCAAAAGCTTCGCGATCAGATTTTTTTTTTTCACTCGAACGAAACGCCCAAATAGAGTAAAAAGTTGGTACCGGTTGATCTGTTTGACATAGTTGTATACATGTGCACCGTTGGCGGGCGCGCTACGCTTCGGTGTACCGTGGCCATTTGAGCCATTACCTGATCCATTCGGGTACGAGAGTATAATATTCCCTCGGAAAAGTCCGCAATGGCGAAATGAAAAATCTCGTTTTTTGGGAAATTAATTGGATTGGCTTGTGGGCAATGTACTAATCAAACAGTTTTTTCCCCCATGCGTGAACCAATCCACAGAAACGGAAATTTGATACGCGCAATCAGCATTGAAAATTAATTTCAATTCCCAATAATTTAATTACTTCTTTTACCGTTCGACGCAAGTATCGATATTTCACGATGGTTTTATTTCACTGCTCGTTCCAGGACAATTTTTTTTCATTCAATACTAAATGAAAATTATTTTTCCACGTTTCGAGTAAAAAAGTTTCACAAGACTCAAAAGTGGGCACTTGCATCATGCAGTACGTGAAATTCAATAACTTTCCCTCACTTTATATCGAGAAAAACTTTATGCGTAAGTACTGATTTACAAGCGCAAGGGTAAATACGTAAATTAAATACAAAATTTAATTAAGGATCGAGCCGTTAACCAAATCAATTTACAGGTATTGAAAAAATTGCATCAACGTACTGCTTCACCTCGTTCGTGTACATCATAAAATGAGCTGGATAAACAAGACGCCCCGGAAAAACGAGGCAATTAAGAACATCAAGCGCCAGTTACGTATAGGTACCGGGAAAAATGATCTGCACATAATATATTTTACGGGTACTCTACCATCGCCTATTGCATCACATTTTTTTTTCATTCGAAACAAGGTATGTTTACAGTACCTAAATACACAAAAACTACTTAGATTTCACGACAAGGTGATGCTGTACAATTTTCAAGTACAAAAGAATCCAAAGAGTTTTGCACGTGCGACGTATAGTGTGCATTATGGTATATCCTTTTGAGCAACAATGGATATGAGGCGCTCGACTTGTACACCATAGTCTAAATATACACGCTCACGAGCAAACGTATATTGACGAACGAACCGTCAATTTATTGACAATTGACACGCCACGCTCGGATATTCAGTTTCTGTTTCCGTCTCGTTGTTTGATACCTATCCGTCGACTACGGATTTCCGTTCCCTTCTTGGCGGTGTTGCATTGTTGGGGTGTCGTTTCGTTCGACACACAATTATATTGTGCGATCTCGCGATCAAAAACGCATATGCAGAAACAACGAAACCCAACTGTACACGTTGGCTAATCAAATGACAAAGACAGCCGTCGATTGTTTATACGAAACTTGAGGCGTCTCCTTTTTTGCAGATCAACACTGTACATTCGAATGCCGAAAAAAACGACAATTCCCCAAGAGATGGAAATGCGGTTGTACCGAACTTTATTGGGCAGTAAAACGGACCTCGGCTGTTTGACGAAGAATCCAATTTTCCGAGCGACTGTTCGCACATAGTTCAATAGACGACAATGATGATGTCGTTTTATCAATATGACTCTCTACGAGGACGTTGTCTCCAATGCGACACACTGCTTTATCTTATCGGACGCGTTAATTTTTCTCGCATTGTTCTTCAACAGTTGTAAGTAATCTAGCCACGAAAAGCGATAAGAATACGTAATGTTTGTCGTGAATTGACATTGACTGCACGCGCCTGATTCTTCTTGCGTCCATTCGTTGTTGTCGCGCTCGAAGAACTACAGTTGGGCCCAACAAGAGACAGGAACGCTTGACACCCAAAGCTCTACTTCTGCGATATCACCTCTCAGCCATGCAATACTTGCATCCGGTACGGGCAAGAGGTGTGCTCAGATGTTGGGTCCTGGTGTCTCTGGTTTCGGGCCAATGGGCGACGCTGATGGAGCCGCGTCCACCTCCGGAGTTGAAGTTATTGAGCGTGGTGAGACTTATTTCGGGATTTGATTTGAATTCAGTTGAAATACTGCTGCCACTTATAAGCCAAGGTGCATTAGCGCAATTGACACTTTGACAGGTGTTCAGGCACGGGGACCGGGAGCTGGACGACACGCTCAACGGAGGCTTGACAGCTGTTGGTATTATTTTTTTCTATTTTCGTATTCGCATGATAAATAACTTCTCATTTACTAATTATATGATATTTATAATTAAAATGTATCGTACACCTCGGCCTTGGATCAGTTATTCGTACTCTCGTGCCAAATGTTACTATAATATTCGACGTGAGTTGAAAGTGTAATTTGCGCGAAGCAAGTATAAATATCTATATATGCGTAAGTCAATCGGTACAATGGAGCCTAATTGCCCGGGCTTTTGAATGGAGCCGCAAATTGCAATCGCGAGACGAGACTTGCCAAACAACTGCTCGTGTTTTTTCTTCCTTACGAACTTGACGTTTCCTTCGACTCTTTCCTTGCATGACAATCGTTTGAAAATAATCAGTAAGCCAAAAATTTCGATACTACCTCTCTTTCCGTCATCCGTGCGCTGAAAATAAATTTCGTGGAATCAAGAAAGACTAGTTCCAAGCAAATAATCTTTTGAATTGAGATTGCGTTTTATTACTTCAAGATATTATATTCCATTGGGGTTCTAGGAAGATATATTATCTTGTTTCAAGGGGAATTCTCACTCGGCGCTATCATTTGGTAAAGTTCTCCTCGATCCTAAAAAATTGGAGCATGTTTTGCGATAAGTTTTAGTTACAGGTTTTTTTTTTTTTTTTTTTTTTTCAACTGTCCACCATACGTATCAAAAGTGTTTTCTTTGGGTTTCTCCGTGGGTTATAATCACCCTCTGATCCTATGATGTACGCGTCATACCCACAGATGGGCAAACTGAGGGCTCATCAGCTCGGCGGGAGGCTACGCGATCGGTACGGCAAAGAGCTCCTGAGCGACGATTACGAGGCGGGTGACTGCGTTGCCCAAAGCACAGAGTACGTAAGGGCGCGATTGAGCCTCCAGCTGGTGCTCGCCGGGCTATACGTGCCCCACGGGCCTCGGCGATGGCACGACTCCCTTGACTGGCAACCGATCCCGTTTGCCTACGTACCCGAGATTCAGGACATACTCCTACTCCCGAAAAAGTGTCCACGGTATTATTTGTTACATACATGGGGGGGGGGAGCATATTTAGGTACGGGTGTATTGATACGTGGGTACTAATCAGCTTCCAGCGAGAGCTCGCGAGAGCCAAGTCGACGCCGGAGTTTCAGAAGCTACTAGATCCATATCGGGATATGCTGAGCGATTTGGCAGCTTGGACGGGCGAAAGGATGGACAGCAGTTTCGACATGTTTAAGCTGTACCACAGGCTGGCGGCGATGCGATCGATGATGCAGCCCCTGCCCGCTTGGTCGAAGGACATATTTCCCGACGGTTTGCTGCTCAACGGCACTTATCTCGAGTACGAGATCCTCAAGTACACCGACTACATGAGGAAAATCAACGGCGGTGAGTTTTATCTCTATTTGGCTGACCTTTCCCGAGTACCCCGAAACGTGGTTTAATTGGCACATCCAAAAAGGCGCGCTGGTGCGAAAAATACTCGACGACATGTTGGACAAAAGAATACCGGTTACGAAAAACTCCAATGGCCGGAAGAAGCTGTTTCTGTACAGCACCCACGAGATGACTATCGTAGCTTTACTGCAAACTCTGAAGATTTGGAATCCTCACATACCGAGGTACACGAGCTCGATCTTGATAGAACTGCTCGAAGGTAGCGACGGACATTTCGTCAAGGTAAGTGTGTTGCGTGGCGGGTTTAACCAAACTTCGCTCTTACTTTCACTTAAAAATGGGCGATTTCGTCATATTTTTCAAACAAAGGTCTCTATCGGAATATGGAATGTGGCGAGAAATACAAGTTCACTCTTTCCTCTGTACGCAAATGATTGGAAGCGATTTTTCAATGAAATCTGCACTTTTCTTTTATCGATAACTCGAAGCTACCTTTCTATATCACAATATGATGTGTCACTTATATTTAAGTATAAGGAAAATAGATACTAAAGAGGATGAGTTTATAACTAGTATTTCGATACCATTCATCTTCTTTTAAAGTAATAGGAAGGAGGAAGAGGAGGATCTCACCCACAAGTATTCAACTACTTAATGAATTTACTGATAGTTGGGCTTTGCGAGTCCATGCATATTTAAAATATTGTACGAATGTATATTGACGGGTTGCCTTCTTGTGGGCGATTTAATCATCACTGGGCATTTATCTAGTTTGCATATGTATCAATGACTATATGTATATATTTTGCTCACAGGTGCTGTACTACGAAGGGATCCCGGCCAAGTTTCAAGAAATGCTAATTCCCGGCTGTCCGCGAACTCTGTGTCCCCTCGACAGATTTATTGAATCGATATCGGATCAGCTACCCACTCACGACCAAATGATTTGCGACGACCAAGCCTCGTTAGTACGACGTAGTTCAGCCACCAGACACGCGTACCAATTTAATCATCCTTAAACTCTTTGTTGCCTTGTTTTAATTTGTTATAATATTAATAATGATAATGATAATTACTGCTGTTACGTGATTATGGGGGCAAAAAATCCCTTCATCATCAAGGATCGTAGCAATTGACATAAACTACTGGCTTAGTTATTACATGCTTACAATGTATGGTGGTTCCAAAGCCTAGGAGTAAGGCGTAAATTTACACCGAGAATGTGAAATTCGGTAACGACGGGAAACGTAGTAGAGAATTGGTCCTAACACTCCTCTTATACGCAAGTGCCGTTTCGAGACCCCGTTGCTCTAATGACTGTTTCAAGACTTGGGTGCTCTAATGACTGTGATTTACTATCTATATCGCCTTATACACGATATAACATATTTCATGTATTTGTATACGGGCATGACGTACAAGGTAAATTGCATTCACGTTTTCGAGATGAAGAAAGAGCCTTTGTGCATGTGGAAACAACATATTATTTTTCAACGTTATTGCGTCGACGAGATAATATCGGGCGAGCAAAAATTTTTGAGAAGTAAAAAAATGAAAACTGCAAGTACATATACCGCAAAGCAATTTTCTCGAGCTTCGATATCACCAAGATAATAAGAAAAAAAAGATGAGGCATTGATGCCGCGCGCAATGAACATACAAGGGTATTACACACTGTGGTATGTATACTTAAGAAGAAAAAAAAAAAAAAAAAAAAAAAAGAAGGTAAAATTTGTAACGATCGTTAAAACGTCGATGAACCGCAGCAGCCGGCAGCTCTTATCCGTGAGCCGCAGGGAGTTCAACTGCATCAGCAGCGGCTGCAGACGTGCAGACTCGCGTCGCACCAGCACACGGTGCGAAAATAATTCAAGCTGGCAGCTTATACGAGCTTATCGACACACTGGGCGGGGGAAGGAGGTGCGGGCGAAGTGCTTTGGCTCTGCGAAGTGTGGGGCTTGGGGGCGGAGGAGGTGCAGGAGGCGTCATGCTGCAACGCCACCGATAGTATGTGTGTATATCACGGTGGAAATGAACCGCCGCCTGTCGCTGCAGCCACCCGTGTAGCCGTAGTACTTTGGAAATTTGTGGTGGTGGTGGTGGTGGTGGTGCCCTTTTGTCTTGCATCTGCAATCTTAAAACGTGAGAGTAAGTAAGCGTGGTTATGCGTATGTGTGTGCACGCGCAGGGTCACGCCAATAACTGGTGCTCTAAAGGAGTGCCTTGTATGACCACCTGTACAAATAGTACAGTCATCCGTGATGAGGATTAATCGCTCGCGCAATATAAAATAATAAAATAAAAAACAAATCAATTCGTTCTCTTGTTTTTGGTAAGAATAATTTATCTTACCTCGTGAACGAAACACAACAAGTGCGTTCCTTTTTGAAACAGTGAATTTTTCAAGCGAGGAATAAACAATGACTCAACCTTTTGGCTCTAAGAGCTATAGCTACTAACGAGAACGATCTCGCCCTCGTGCCAAATAAAAAGCAGCTGTTGCTACTGATTCCCATTATTCTCCTTTACGTATACATGTGGTTCGACCGCTCGAGAAAACACTGCAAAGGAAATGATAGAGCCAACGACACAGTCGATTGAGCTGCCGATCTTAAGAGAAGTGATGCTCTTCGTCGTAGTATAATTATATATTGCGAAATGGCAACAATCCGATGGAAATAATTTTTAAAGAGCTCATATTACGCACCTTCCTAATCTGTTATTACTGTATGCAACATGGTACATCTTTCCCCCCTCCCCCCAAGCCTACCCTTCGTTATTTTCCACTGCAGTTCTCGACGATAGTATCCGAACAATCTTTTTCGAACAATCGAAAAATCGAAAATCGATCAAACTAAAAATTTCCAACTGTATTGTACACTATCCTTACACCCATTTGAATTGCTATTCATTAAGGGTAAAAACAGACGAAGCCATTTCAAACATCCATCGGAAGTCTCTAGGGACAGCTCTATGATGTTTTAACCTGTGTATTATCGACGTACCTTCAGTTCCAAAGGTAATTGTGTAGGATTTTACGCACATGGCACAGTTTTATCTTCTTGTGTTTGCGACACTGGAGTATTAACCCAAGCAGGAGATTGGTCGCGTAATTGGGGAAAAAAATTGAAAGAATATATGAAAAAAAAAAAAAAAAATCAGTTCCGTCCTCTTAAGTCGATACAGTGACAATCCAACGGAACAATGGCATAATAATGAACCAGTATATCCCAACATTTATTTTGCACATGCTAGTGACCATATGACGCTCCACCCCGCTCTGGATATACTGGCTCCACATGATATCGCGTTCTCCGGTTATCCTCAGGAAATTCACCCATAGATCAGACACACGCATGGACTTGATTATTGACTCTCCAGTTTCCCTTTTCCGCATCCGCGCCTCATAGATTTAATTTAATGTCCATCGGTGCATACAAATTATACGCACCGAAATTCCCAGCTCGCAGTTCGTCCGTAAGTTATATAAAGCAGCCGCGAAAGATTATATTACCACTGCGATAATTAGTGGGATGTTCATGTGTCGCGTTTGAATTACTTTTACAAACAAGTACAGCAGTGGTTTTTTGAGGGGTCGTTTTAATAATGCCATATCTCGTAAGTATCAGTGCTCATGATTAAGAGAAAATACTTCATTCGCGCTGCTTACTTTTAATTAACGATGATGACGGGGCAAAGGATGCGATCGTTGAAACATATTACAAATATTGTAAGCCGAAGCTCTAATTGATCCAAACATTGAATACGTCCCTTGCCTCCACAGCCAAACGAATTCTTAATCGTGAAAAATAATTTCTCACCCCGCGAGACAGCTTACACTCGTCTGCCGTTTAATTATACTCGCTCGTGTACAGGATGTCGCTTCATACGGCGTCCCCCCGTAAAGTCACCCCCGTGTCCTTTCCGCACGGTACGCTGGCTTCTGGCTTTCACTTAAATGTATAGGCAAGAGAGTCACGTGGACAGCACGGAGCAGCTTCGTATGTGTGCGTAGGTCGGGGGGCAAGGGGGAAGTGGCGGTGAAAGCGAGAAAAGGGACGAGTCGCCGAAGAACCGATCGGAAGGCGTGTAGAGGAAATCGACGCGAGATATCTTTCCGTAAAGACCGGATGAGTCGGGCCAGCTCGAAACAGGTATCATATTTTTCGCAGGCGATCAGTTGCGACGGCGACACCTTTACCCTAAACTCGTATACACACATACGGAATCGATCGAACCCCATTCCCATTACAGCTCTGCCTCCTTCTTCTGGGTGTCTCTCTATATCGCTCTTTTGGCTTTCTTTTTCCTTCCACTCCGCCCCGTACTCCTCCTCCTTCTCCTCCGATGATTTCCGAGTCGCACCGGGGGGATGAAATTTTTCGCGCAGCAATATTTCTTCGCTTTTGATTTACACGTTGTACGACTACAGCCGCACAGTTTGAATCCTTTTGATCGGCTCTTTTGGTAATTTTACACGTATCCGTATTATCTGCAGGTAAAGCTACAGGAAAAAAACGCCATTTCCGTGGATGCGAATGCCAAATTCACCGTTGCTGAGATTTAAAATTTCAGGGGGAACGTCGCAACGAGGATACACACACACACATATACACTCGAACACAGGGCAAACCTATCCCATTCGGCACTTCAATCTACTTACGTGGCAGTCGCGCGACGTAGTTGATATACTCGGCTCGGCGTGGTTCGCCTCAAAAAGCAATTTCCTCTCTTACGAAATATACTTTCTGTATCCGCGGAGAGAGAGAGAGAGAGAGACCGTACGTGCGAAGGAAAAAGCTTCGACGAAGCCCGAAAACTTCTATGGCAATCTCAGTGTGCGTCGAGAAGCTGCAAAAACGACACGATATTTGGTACAACGGTGCTTGGTTCGTCTCACACTTGTACGTGCGATTAAAGAGCTCGTATAAAGCGGTGCCAAGCTCGGCCTGAGCATAGAAGTGGATGTAACAGTCGAGCTCGACATGCTTGGCCCAGGTACAAACTTTTCCTTCTTCTTTCGTGGCTGAATATTCATGTACGGTCGGGGGTTCGCTCGCGCGCGTTCCACCAGTGCGTTACTTTGTGCGATTTATTCCTGCGGCGCATTAATATTTACGTACAGCTCGACAAATTGGAATTTCGTGCTCGAACTACGGTAGTAAGGCATTGTATTTATTACTCTCTTGCTGATGCTCTTTCCCGATTATTTTGAGGATACAGTTCTCTCATTCCATTTAATCGTTTGATAGTCTCATTCCATCAATATAACACAGATTTATTTCTCAAAGAAAATTACGTCACATAAATCATCATCTGTATAGGTTAATAAACACTGTTAATACTATGACATATGTAAAACACAAGAAAAGTGAAAACAAGAGGCTTGGACTGGTTCGATGAACGAGTAGTATAGACTGCGTATGGTCAGGCAACACAAAAGAGTCTCATACCTTATGAAAAGATGAAAATGTACACTCTCTTTTGATACGGTAAATGAAAACGTTTATGTATAAAACACAAGAAAAGTAAAGGCAAAAGGCTAGGACTGGTTTGACGAATGAGTAGTACAGACTGCGTAATGTCAGACAACACAAAATAGTCTCATAGCATATGAAAAGATGAAAATACACACTCTTTTTTGATTGGGCAAGTGAAAAAGTATAATAATGAGAATCGGCAAAAAAAAATCTACAGTACTTCCTCATGCCTTGAATCAAAGGGGGAAAGAGATAAATTTAATTGAAGATTTGGTAATTTCAAGTAGTGATAATGGGGTTCGGTCAGACAATGTTAAGTGAAAGTGATGGATAAATGAAAAAGCCAACTAAAATTAACTGATTGAATGAAGGTGTACTTTAAAAGACTATTGATGAAATAAAAGTAAATGTTTTGATCATTTTTTTTCTCATTATTCGTTGGTGAATACGTAGATTATGGTATATCCTCCCATACTTACCTGATGCTCATGCATTTTTTAAATAGAAAAAATGGCTATCCTCGGTGTATTTACGTAGCGCGTGAATAGCTAAATCATTCCGTGCAGTTGTCAAACTTAATATTCATGGACATGTAACATAATAATTACCCAACTAGGCAACCTTTCCTTCAATTGTACGTGTACTTATCGCTCTTGGCTCGCGTAAAAAGGTTTGGTAAACTTGTACATAGTCGAGGTTGCGTGCGATTTTTCGAGGGGATTCCCAACAAAGTTACTGCACCTCCGTATTAATGTACATCCAATGTCTTTTCAAAGCTTATCTTTGAGGTATCGCATTTGTCGATGGACAGTTGTAATTTATTGGAAAAATACATGAATAAGTTTGAAAGAAAAAAAAACATTACCACGTACTCGGTTGTACAAAGTACAGAAAAAGAGGGAGCCATTCAATTTGCCTGATTCAGTGCTCATCGCACTTTGTTATTCCTTCATAATGCTATCTCCTTCTTTGCATGAGCTTTTGCCAGTTGTCCATGTATGACAGCCACAGAGCCACAATAGCCAACTGCACTAGTATCGCTACATCAAAAGGAGCTGTTTGCAGCTGGTACGCACGTTTGTAGTATAAAGCTCACGGGGAAAGCTCGTTGTGCCTTTTAACTTTCTACTTCTTTAGAGCTGTTTTGCTCAGCAAGTGATCGCAATTACGAGTATTTTATTTTCCGCGTGGAAATAATAAGTAAGGAAGGGGTATAAATAACAAGAGTTGTGTCTTTCTGTAGGTACCTGCCATTACTGCTGATTGTTTGAATTTCGAGACCTCGTCGGAAAATTGGGTGTCAGCGGTCAATGGATTTTCCGGGTAATGAAATTTACAAAAGAACTACAAATCAGTACCTATGGCAACTTTATTTCGTGGGCCATTTTATAACGACACAAACTGAAAACTCGCTGAACGAAAAAAAACTCGCTCGAAAAGAGAGCCGCTGCTGCGACTGAAGAGTTTGGGAAAAAAAGTGGGCGCGAAAAAGGTAAAAAGTCATAGATGTGGTGAAAAGAAAAATGCCGAGAGGAGGGTTTGCTTCCCACATGTCTATCCGTCGAAAAAGGCGAGCCGAGTTCCACCGACAGAAGCTTCGGAAATTGTATTTTTCAGTGCCAAATGTCGATTGATTGTAAAGCCAAGTGCTTTTACACGCTCTTGCTGCTCTCCGTACTCCTTTATGTCCCCTTTTCGAGCGACGATTGAATTCCATAATGAATTTCCTTCGTTCCCTTTCACATTTATAACTCTTTACTTCTACCCTTCCCCCTTTTATTCCATAAAATATTGAGTTTACCGTTGCACGAACCCGCTATGTTGGGATAATTCAAAAATGTAATTTGACTTTTAAACGTTTCTTGGAATATTCAATGTCAATTATCGGAGACTGGATTTATTTTTTCTACCATACATTACTTCCAACTGTTTCGGAAGTAAAACTTGTTTTTTTTTTACAGTTAGAAAAAAAGAAGATGCCGTTTTTAATATAAAAAAAGTACGTTCTGGTATGAATTATGCTGCCATAGCAAAGACACCCGCGGGAACGCATTGAGCTCCTCATCTTCGATGTACTTGCAGTGAACACAGGCTTCTCCGATAGTCATTCGTAATCCATCAAAGAGATTATTTTCTATGCATAGTAGCATGAGAGACGTTCACTAAGTTTTTTTTTTCTTTACTGTTACCTGAATTTTGAGAAAACGCCAAGATTATAGCTTGGCCTTTGAATATTATGGCACCTAATGAATGCGTGAAAAAAAAAAAAAAAAAAAAATTATAACAATAATAATAACAGTAACACGTAATTCAAAGTGTTAATTAATATTTTGCAAAATTTCGTAGATGAACCAGTACTTGTAACCATATGAATGTAATTAAAGGAATAACTTACCCCGACGGATTGAGTAGAATTAATCGGTACTGGATGGTAAAATTACATTTTTTATTGGGGAAAGGTGTTTCAAAATGAACTCAGTATCCTAATGTAACACTTATTTTCAGTTCTGTTTATTAAAATATCATTACATCTTAGTTGCATGTACATACTATTCATTTATTCTCGTTTATCTTGTGTATGCTGTAGTTTAAACGACGTGACGATTTGTATAGACACTTCCGAAACGAAAGTTGTGCTCTTCATTTATTCCATAATTTATTATTTTATTCATTGGGGTTTTCGTCTTTTCTTTTCAATAAACAATAACACGCTTTGGCACGTCCATCACGACGAGACACTTTGTTTCTCGCATCGTCAAAGATGGGTATAAATATCTTACAAATCTCTTTCACACGATCCGAAAAAAAGGAATAACAGTGGAGCACCCTGGAGATTTGCTCTTTAAAAATCAAGTGCTGCAGCGCAGAGCAGAGAGGAAAACATTCATATATTTATATATTACTCTTTTTCGTACTTTTATAACCGCACTGAAATAACAAACGCTCCTAATAAATACAGCGATGACAATAATAATAGTAAGTACAATTTGTATAATAACTGTTTAATGATTACATAATAGCCCTTGCTTAGGAAACTCGAAAACAATCAAAACTATCGATAGATTGATGAGACAACTTCGACTCTGAATGAATATGCATGAAGATGTGATAAAGTGTCGCAAAAAAAAAAACCTTAACGAATAGCAAATTGATCAATATTACGGACACGACAAAAGTTCTCGCATACTAATGTTTGTACATAATTATTCATCCTCGCACTTGATGCTACCCACCCTTTCCACAACTCCTCCTTTTTCTTCTTCTATACAGTATGCGATTCTCATTATCCTGTCCTTTAACGTTGTTTCCCCTTAAGCAACACTTGTTTTGCTGTACCAAGAAAGAAGGAAAAAAAAAAGTATACAGTCGACTCATGTCCTACGGCTAGTTTCTTTGGAATAACGACGTTGAAATTGAGTTAGGGGCCCCTGCATGCGGAGGGCGCGTTTATCCAAGCGCTACCGGAGAGTTATTAAACCCGAGTTTTCACAGTTTACTGTTATTATGATAATTATTAATATTAATTATTATTATAATTATAATAGTTATTGTTTATATTATTATTATCATTATTATTATCAC